GTGGGGGGGGGGGGGGGGGTCTTGATGCAAATGAGATGCTAATGAGGGGATGGAGATGGTCTCTGCAGGGGTCCTGGGAGAATTTGGAAGGATTTATGCAAATGAGATGCTAATGAGGGGCTGAAGATGGTCTTTGCAGGGGTCCCGGGAGGATGTGGAGGGATTTATGCAAATGAGATGCTAATGAGGGGTAGACGGAGGGTCTAGGGCCAGTGTTTTTTGGGGGAAATGAAGACGTTCTTATGCAAATGAGATGCTAATGAGGGGCTGTAAATGGTCTCGGCAGGTGTCCTGGGAGGAATGTGGGTGGTTTATGCAAATGAGATGCTAATGAGGGGATGAAGATAGTCTCTGCAGGGGTCCTGGGAGGATTGTGGATGATTTATGCAAATGAGATGCTAATAAGGGGCCCGGGGTGGTTTCTTCAGGGGCCCCCTGAGGATCTGGGGATGACTAAGGAGAATTTATGTAAATGATATGCAAATTAGGGGTACAGGGAGGGTCTTGGGACAGTGTTTTTGGAGGGAAATTTAGAAGTTCTTATGCAAATGAGATGCTAATGGGAGGCATGGGAGGATCTCTGGAGAGGTTTGGGGGAACTTTGTGGGTTATTATGCAAATGAGATGCTAATGAGGGGCTGTAAATGGTCTTGGTGTCCTGGGAGGAATGTGGGGGATTTATGCAAATGAGATGCTAATGAGGGCCACAGGACGGCTGCTCGATGGATCCTAGGGGAGTTCGGGGGATATGAAGAGGCATTTATGCAAATGAGATGCAAATTAGGGGTTCAGGGAGGGGCCCTGGGGGTGTTGAGGAGAGGAAATGAAGGGGTCGTTATGCAAATGAGATGCTAATGAGGGGATTGCTGGGGGCGGGGCCGAGCTGGGACGGGAACCTGCGGGATGGGGGAGCGGCCGGCCGGGCCGGGGGGGCTGGGGATCGACCGGATCAACGGGATCGACCGGGATCCAACGGGATCAACGGGATCGACGGGATCGACCGGGATCGGCCGGGATCGACGGGATCGACCGGGATCAACTGGGATCGGGCGGGATCGACCGGGATCCAACGGGATCCAACGGGATCAACGGGACCGACCGGGATCGACTGGGATCAGCTGGGATCGACCGGG